AACAACAACAACAATATATTTCCAGCACAGGTCTCAGAGGGCAGCACAAAATATACTGCAGACTTGATAAAAATAGGAGAAAAAATGAGTTGCAAATATCAACTAGACATAAACAGGCTGATATTAAAGTTCACATGGAAATTCATGGAACCTAGACTAGCTGAAACAATCCTGAAGAAAGAAAAACAAAGTTGGAGGACTCAGACTTTTTGATTTCAAAACTTCCTACAGTAATTAAGACAGTGTGATACTGGCATAAGGACAGACACATAGATTAAAAGAAAAGAAATAAGAGTCCAGAAATAAATCCATGTTCAACTGATTTTCAGCAAAGAGATCAAGACAATTCAATAGGAAAAGATTATTTTCAACAAATGGTGCTGGGACACATGTAAAAGCATACAGTTGAAGCCCTACTTCACACCATACACAAAAATTATATCAAAATGGACCACAGACACAAATGTAACAGGTAAAATTATAAAACTCTTAAAGGAAAACACAGGAGTAAATCTGTATAATCTTGGATTAGATAATGATTATTTAGATATAACATCGAAAATACAAGTGATCAAAAAGAATATTGACAAGTTTGCTTGGCCAAAATTTAAAACCTTTATGCATCAAAGAATACTATCAAGAAATTGCAAAGACAACCTACAGACTGGAGAAAATATGTGCATATCATGTATCTGTAAGAAACCTGTATGCAGACTATATATAATCAACTCTTACAGCTCAATAATGATGGGTAGAGGGAGGACAAATAACCCAATGAAAAAATAGACAAAAGATTTGAAGAGACATTTCTTCAAAGAAGGTACACAAATGGCTATAAACACATCATCATCAATCATTAGGGAAATGAAAAAGATACTCATTATCATCAGTCATTAAAAACCCAAAACACATTTTCATCGAGTCAATGATGACTCACAGTGAGGGAAATGCAAATCAAAACCACAATAAGATATCATTTTATACCTACTTAAGATGGCTAAGAAAAAAGAGAGAGAGAGAAAAACAAGCATTGGTGAAGATAGGAGAAACTGAAAAAATCATACATTGCCAGTGAGAATATAAAATGATGCAGCCACTTGAAAAATAGTCTGGCAGCTTTTGAATGATCTTCATGACCCAGCAATACCAACTCCAACTATTTAACTAAAATATACCAAGATGTGCACAAAAATCTTGTATATACATATTCATAGCAACATTATTCAGAACAACTAATAAGTGGAAACACTCAGAAGTTTATCAAATGATGAATTAGATAAATAAACTGTACTAACTCCACACATGAAATGTTATTCAGTAATATACTCCATATGTGAAGACAGTACATTTTATTTACCTAATTCATCATTTGATATATGTATCTGCAAAAAGGGCAAGGAGGTCACATGTTCTGACCTCCTCTAATCCCACAAGAGGAAGACAGGATTACGAGCAGAAACCCAAGGCCTATTACTGCAAGGCCAGACATGCTGCCTCCCTCCAGCCCTTTCTCCAACCGTTCCTCCCAAAGCACCCACCACCTCTCTCCTGGGTTTGATAATTCACTGCAGTGGCCACACAGAGCTCACAGATTATGGGGTTTATTAGGGAAGCACCACAGGCTACAATACAAGTTCAGGAAAAATGCTCAGCCTCTCTCCCAGCCCACCGTATCACACAATATTTCACGTGTGGTGGAAATAGCACAATTTCTTTATCTACTTCATCTTTCAATAAATATTTGAGTGTTTCTACTTATTGGCTATTCTGAATAATGTTGCTGTCAACATACATGTATGAGTTCCACTTGTCTGTGAGTTTGCCATACTATGGTGGCTCGTATGTTGCTATGAGGCTGGAAGTTATGCCAACAGTATTTCAAATAGTGGCACGGTCACCTGCTGGACAGCTTTCAGCAGAGCTTCCAACTAACACAGACTGGCAAGAATTATGGAGCCACCTATTTCTGAAAAAATTAGCCACTGAAAACCTTACAAATAGCAGTGAAACACTATCTGATACAGTGCCAGAAAGTGAGCCCCTCATGTTGGAAGGCACTCAAAATACAACTGGGAGAGAGCTGTTTCCTCATAGGAGAGTCAACCTCAATGATGTGGATGGAGTACAACTTTTGGGAACTTTATTTGCTGACTAGGCACAACTCAAAATGGGAAGAAACCCCTGCAAACATTCATTAACAATTGGAATATAGAATGTATGAAGTATGATTCTATCAATCTAGGAAAACCAGAAGTTGTCAAAAATGAAATGGAATACATAAAGATCTATATCTTAGGCATTAGTGAGCTGAAAAGGATTAGTATTGGCTATTTTGAATAAGACAATCATGTGGTCTACTATGCCAGGAATGACAAATTAAAGAGGAGGAATGGTATTACTCATTACCAAAAAGAACATTTGAATTGTGGTGTTGGTGAAGAATACTGAAAATACCATGGACTTCCAGAAGAATGAACAAATTTATCTTGGAAGAAGTACAGCAGAAATACTCCTTAGAAGTGAGAATGGCCAAACTTCATCTCAACTACTTCGGTCATATTGCCAGAAGGGACCAGTCCCTGGAGAAGGATATTATGCTTGGCACATGGGTCAGCAAAATATCATGCTAAAAGTGCAGGATCAGCAAAACAGGGGAAGAATAGGAATGAGATGGATCAACACAGTGATGGCAACAATGGGCTCAAGTGCAGCAAGGATTGTGAGGATAGCGCAGGACCAGGCAGTGTTTCATTCTGTTGTACACAGGTTTGCTACGAGTCAGAACCAACTCCATGGCACCGAACAGCAGCATAATGGAAGTACTTATATGTGCTACAATGTGGCTCAACTTCTTAAACATTATGGCAAGTGAAGGAAGACAGACACAAAAGAACACCCACTGTATGATTCAAATTATATGAAATGTCCAGATAGGGAGATCTATAGAAACAAAAAGTAGATTACTGTTGCCTAGGTCTAGGGCAATAACGCAGAGGGAAGTGAACGCAGAGTGGCTGCTGATGGTATAAGGTTTCTTTTTGGAATGATGAAAATATTCTAACATTTGATTATGGTGATGGTTTTATAACTCTGTAAATAAACTAAAAACCATTCACTTAAATACTTTTAAACAGGTGAGTTTTATGATATGTAAATTATATCTCAATAAAGCTATTAAAAGTTAGAGATTAGCCTAATAAGAGACATAAATTCTTACCCCAGCATTTGTTAGGTAGGTGGTAAACTCTTTGGACAGAATAGACAATTCTTTACACAGTACAACTGTCATCCTGGGAAAGAAAGGAAAAGAAAGAATGGCTCCTTTTTATCTTTTTCTTTCTCTTTTTTTAATCAGCTATATTTAAATTACTGGAAGAAAATAAACCACTCCTGCTACTATATGTGAAAGATGAATGCTTTGAAAGGGAATAAATATGCCTAAATCAGCTGAAGTATTTGGGGACTTAATGTATTTGAGGACCCATGTGAACAGGCTTCATTCTACAAGGAAGAGGAGTCCAATTCTCAGAAAAATTTTTCCATGAAATCCTATAGAAAGTATTATGCTTTCAAGTTAAATTAAAGGAAATAACTAAAATATATTTGGTGACAACATAGTACTTAAAACTCTCTAATTCCATTTAGATATATATTTAAAATAAATACATATTAATTCATTCATTATTCAACAAATATTTACTGAATGTATTCTATATGCTAGGCATTGTTCCAGGTACTGAGTGTGTATCAGTGAGTAATCAAAATCCTGGTTTTCACCAATTCTAACTAAACTTGCTAATTAAGTGAAAGACTATGTACGTGCAAATAAAATTAAACATATATCCACTAATACATATATACAGAGTTTACAAGTATACACATTTATAAGGAGCTGTAGTAGCACAGTTGATAAAGCATTTGGCTGCTAACCAGAATGTTAGTGGTTCAAATTCACCAGCTGCTCCATGGAAGGACGATGGGGCAATCTACTTCCATAAAGATTTATAGCCTCAGAAACCTAATGGGGGTCACTATGAGTCAGAAGCAGTTTGATGGCAATGAGTTTTTATACACATATGTGTGTATGTGTATATGTACGTGGGTATATATATACATATGTATATGTATATATATATATATATACATATATATATGGATACACACACACACACATATGTATTGTTCTTGTTGTTGTATGCCATTAAGCTGATTCCAACTCATAGCAACGCCATGTGACACAGTAGAACTACATTTCCTATACTGAAATCTTTACAGAAGCAGATTGCCTGGTCTTTCTCCTGCAGAGCCACTGGCTATTAAGACTAACAAACTGAAAATTAGTTTTCAGAACACAAGTTGCTTAAGGACAGATTTATAAGGTAGAATTATGAAGGCTCAATGACAAGAAACATCCTTGGATACATAGTAACTAACACTCAAAATGAAGAAATCTCTAATATATGAATGGGTGAAATGTGAATAGCAGCTTGTTGAGAGGGAAGTGTCTAAATTTCTCTAAATAAGCTAAGAAAACTCTTTCAGCAATTTCCATCAATTAGAGGGATACTCATTATACTTACTGGGAAAGGGCTCGGCTCCTCTCTATGGCTGTCGCTTCCTGCTTCTGACCATGTAGAACCAATGCTGCTGTTTTGTGAAACAATTCAATTGAGCAGGCAGTCAGTTCTGCTAGGCTCTGGATTGCAAATGCATGGATATCCTAGAAGGAAAAAAAAAAGACTAAGGAAACAATACATTGTTCTTTTCATCCTCTAGGAAATGACACAACTGTGCTTCTCTCATTCTGAAGGATTCAGTATCTTGAACATAGCAGACATTACTATTGTTGCTGTTGTATGCAATCAAGTCAAGTCAGACTCATGGTGACTCTACAGGACAGAGTAGAACAGCCCCCATAGGCTTTTCTAGGCTGTAATCTTTACAGGAGCAGATTGCCTGGTATTTTCTCCCATAGAGCCACTAGTGGTTCAAACTGCCAATCTTTTGGTTAGCAGCTGAGTACTTAACAACTGAAACCACGGGTTCCTTACAGACACTATTAGTTGTCCTTAAATAAACATTTTTTCTTTCCTTCCATAATAATTTTACACCTGGGCTCACAGTGACAAAAACAAACACTCCCTTGAAGTCAGGTGGTCATATAACTAAGTTTTGGTTCAAAGAGACTTAGACAGAAAGTACCTTGTAGTAGTTTCTAGAAACCTTCCTTATGACATAAGACATGCACCCTTTAGCTCTTCTTCATTTCTTTCATCCTATAGCCTAGAACTAAGATGCTATAATCTTATTAGAGTATACAGTTGAAACTATGCACAGCAACGTTAATATGCATAGTATATTTTGTTCAAAATAGGCACTTGGGTCCCTGATTGTGGTACCCACATCTCAAATCTGCAAAATAAGGTTTCATTACTTGGTTACCTCTATTGAATTTTTATTGACTTGCTCAGTATTTTCCATTTCTAAGTATTTTCCCCTTTCTTCATTCTCTGCTAATGGCTTGGTCAGAGATGTCTCGATCCGTTCATAGGCAGTATTTCTTGCCTAAATAGAAATTAAAGATTATTGTCCATTCAATTCCTCTAACCTCAGATTATGCTAGCCTTATACAGAAGTCAGTATTAATACCCTTACCCAAAGATACCATGTAGCTTTTCAGTTCTTACTAGACCTCGCTAGACAATTTACTGCTATCCACTCATTCCTTGAAATTCTCCAGTCATTTGGCTTTTAAAGAATATATATATAAACATAGTAAAGCACACAAATTTCCAGAGTTTAGCTCAAGAAATGTTTACATACACTGTGGTAGTTAAGGCTATATGTCAACTTGGTTGGGCCTGGTTTTAAGTGGCCAGGCAATTGGGTGTAGTCATTCCCCATGATGCGACTGGTAATCAATTCCATGACAGAATCTACAGTGAGCAGCTGAGTAGCTGCCTTAGGGATGTGGTCTGCTTCCAGCATATAAGAAGAGGCTTTGAGAAAGGTCTCTGATCTTCTCGGCACATTTGGATCCTGCATTTGACCAAGTCATCAGTGAATGCCAGTCTTGGGACTGTTTCTAGACTTGAACTAGTGCCTGCCGTATTGCTTGATAATCTTTGGTCTGTGCCAGTTTACTTGTCAACCTTGGGTTTGTCAGTCTCACCAGCCAGCAACTGCCTAAGTTAAAAGAAGCCTCTAGCTTCAGTGGGCTGGGAGCAAGAGGCAGAGCTGAAGCCCAAGATCAAGGGGCCTTCACCCAGCCCCTAGAGCTGGCACTTTGAACTCAGACTTCTAGACTCCTAAACTAGAAGAGAATAAATCCCTGTTTGTCAAATCCACCCATCTGTGGTATTTCTTTTATAGCAGCACTAGAGAACCAAAACATATATATATGCCTATGTAACTGGCAGATCAAGATAGAGAACATCCTCATCAACCCAGAAGGTCCTCTCATGTTCCTTCCTAGTCAATACTATATCTCCTTCCCTCTGCTCAAGGTAACCACTCTTCTGTCTCACTATAGACTTTTACTTGTTGTTAAAATGCATATAATGGAACCATAAATATGTTCTGTTTTGTATCTGGCTTCTTTTGTTCAACATAGTATCTATCAGATTTATCTAGATTGTTGCATGTATCAATACTTCATTCTTATTTATTGCTGTGTAATATATCATTTTATGCATATACTACGATTTATCCATTCTGCTGCTCTGGGCTATTTCTAGTTTCCTTTGGCTTTTTAACACAACTATCCTCTTCCACTGGCATGAGGAAAAGCTTCCCTAACAATGAAGTCAAAAAAGCAGAAGAAAGCAGAGCCAAGAAATGGAGGGGGACTGAATTTCTAGGTAGAACCATGCCTAAAGCCAGTCCTGCTCCTTGATTTTCTAGTTTCTTGAGCTAATAAATTCCTTTTTCCTTAAGCCAGCCTGAGTTAAGTTCCTATCATTTTTAACTGATAAGAGTTCTGATTTCTAAAGAAGTGTTTATTGCCATGAAATGAAGGTATCCACTTGAATAACTTCATACAAGACCGAATGTATTCAAAGCTGCAAGCAAGCAATAGGAATCTAGAGAAAACATTAGGTCATTTCATCTAAAAGAATCACAGGTTTTATTACAGATATGGAAATTGGAGTTGGGCCTTTAAGGATTAATTGGTAGGTTTTCACCCAAGGCCACAGTATTAATGAGCTAGAACAGAACCTGTATACCCAGACACTCACTGCAAGGTTCTTTCTCCTGTAACATATGGTTTACCTCAAAATCCCTCTGAAACAATCTGGCTCTGATCTATAACCTTCCTACTTCTTAAGCCTCTCCAAAACTAACAAACAAAAAACTAATAGAATGAACTCTATAAAGGCTCAGAAGGAAGAAAATGCAAGGTGTGTTGAGGAAACTGTGAGGTAACTGGCAAAGCCAGAGTACAAGGTGTAGGAATTTATTAGTCCATTTATGTTTTACAAATATTTACTGCACATTGTGCTAGGTGTTGGGGATACAGCAATGAATTTAACTAGGGTCCTGATCTTCTTTATTCTACTAAGAAAGACAATTAAGAATCAATCAAATATATAAATGCATGAAGAAAAATAAATGAAAGGGAGTGATAAAGAGTGAGGACTGGGTGGATAGAGGGCAGCTTAAGTCTGGATGATGATTAGGAAGGGTCTCTGAGGAGGGATATTTTTTTGAGCTAAAATATAAAAGATAAAAAGGAGTCAGTCATACAAATATTTAGGGAAAAAGAACTGTAAGCAGAAGGAAATCAGCTTGGTGTATTTAAGAAAAAGACGAAGGATAGTATCAGAAGAATATAGAGTGTGGGGGTGCATCATAGGAGATGAGGTTGGAGTGGTGAGGTTTAAGAAGAATACAGTGAGAGATGAAGCCAGAAAAAATCCTAACAATTGACTAATAGTCCAAACAGTATGAGAAGTTCTTTACAATTCGTTTGAAAGGTAAATGACAGAAAAACCAGGAATTGATGTATCTAAGATTAAAAAAAAAAAAGAAAGAAATATGGGGAGTTATAAGACCAGATAAAAGAAAACAATGATGCCATAAATTTTACACTTGAACAAGATATTTTAGTAGGCGTATGGCATACACAAAATGACTTCACCAGGAACCACTGTGGCAACTCAAGCCAATTCATCATCCCTTTCCAAAATTGTTACTGTTACTCCCCCATGATTCCACTGAGAACTTCCCATTGGGGAGATCTGGACTAAGAAATTAAAAGGAATCTTTGAGGTTAGCTTCTCCAACAATTTATTTTTTTCTAGCTGAACAAAATAAGATCTGGAGAAGGAATGGGATTTGCCCAAAGTCACACAACATGAAGAATAAGAACAAGAACTGTGGAATATCTTGTTATGACAGAAAGGAAGGATGTGTTCAAAAAATGATGGGGGCATGCCAGAACACAAGGGCCAGCTTGAAGGACAAGGTGTACTTCAAAATAATTAAGGGTAGTAATGAATTATAAACTACTGTGGCAGGGAAAAAAAAAAAAAAAACCCACAAGGTCATATGGGTAACAAACAGATAAAGAAAGAATGAAGGAGAAAGGAGAACTCTTTACTACAGTAGAATGCCAAAAATGGACAGAATTTGGGGGTTGAAAAAAAAATCACCATTTTGCAACCATCACAGTAAAGACTGGTTCAGCAAGAGTCATTGATTCAATGCTAAACCTAGGAGGGAAATTATGATGAGGAGCAGGATATTTGTATGGTCTTGAAGTATCTTCCCACAGTAACAGAGAACAAAATAGTATTGCACAGTGAGAAACCAGACAACACATGGCCAATGAGGGGCAGATGGGCATCATGTGCCTCTAGATTTGGTATCCTGAGCAGGACAAAACACCACTTAAGGAATATTTTGGCTGGGAACGCATACCATGTCTCTAATCATCAGAAACGCCAGACAAACCCCAAATGAGGAATGTTCTATTTTTTATAAAAGGAAGAAAACCAAAAAAAAATCAAATCTACTGACATCAGCTCCATTGGGACTCATAGCAATCCCCACTGGGTTTCCAAGATGGTAAATCTTTATGGAAGTAGATTGCCCCATCTTCCTTCCACAGAGCAGCTGATAGGTTTTAACTACCAACTTTCTGATTAGCAATCAAATGCCTTAAGTACTGTTTTTCAAAAATGTCAATGGACTATGGACAATTAAATAATAAAAATACAGTATTAATGTTAAATTTACTGAAGTGGATAACCATACTGTGACTATGTAAAGGAATATCTGTATTCTTAGGAGATACATATTAAAGTATTCAGGAGTAAAGGGCTAAAATATTTGCAAATTACTCTCAAATGGTTCCAAAAATAGTAATAATAGTATGTGTATAAGTGTATGTATTAATATATATATATATATGGAGAGAGAGAGAAAGAATACACATGTGTACAAATAAAAATGATTAAGCAAATGAGGTAAAATGATAACAATAAGTGAATCTGCCTAAGTTAAGGGGAATATGAGTGTTGTCTGTACTATTCTTGCAACTTTTCTATTAGTTTAAAATTATTTCTCAAAACAAACCAAAAAAACTATGATTTAAGAGAGAAAGTGTTATGGTAAAATGCTGCAGTTCAGCTAAAAGGGATGAGCTGCTAGAGTGTGGTCTGAAAGCTTTCTTGAAGAATGTAGCATTTTCACTGGGCATAAGAGAGTGGGATAACAAACCAAACACCATATTCCTTATTGGGGCAGGGAAGGGGAAGATGACTGTGCTAACTATGAAATGGCTATCACCTCTCCCTGGCCAGGAGGCCATGTGCACCTGCTGCTGATTCTAGTCCTGAAATGTTTCTCCAGTTTGGGAGAAGAGGATGAATAGGCAGCAATGTAGACCATAACATATGTGTCCCGCATAATATGTATCAAAATCCATATTTCATAACAAAATTTCAGAAATGCTTCTTGATTCAGCATGCCTTCCATTAATGAAAACACATGATTATTAAAAAAAAAAAAAAAAATTAAAGCATTAAATAATTGATTCATGAAAAGGTTAAAGTTGGTGGTTCTGACCAGCCCTCATGATGCCAGTGGACAAGCATATCTACTATACTGAGGTTTCACTGTTCTCAGGGCTCTGAGTAATTCAGAGATGAAGAGATATGGTCCCCTGCCTTTAAGGAGCCAGAAGGTGCCTTTTTCCAGAGCCCAACAACTCAGATAATGACTATTTAGTATGTGGAAATGAGGTTCATGGCTCAGGTCTTCGTTTTTGCTGATGACTCCTGACCTGTCTTCATACATCTGGAACATGGAAGTACTTTAGTCAGAACTCAGAGTGAATAGGGCAGGCCTGTTTAAGATCAGCATCAAATAGCATATATAAGACAACATCCAAATAACGCACAGGAACCTGGAAATCAGCTTGCAAGGCTTATCTCCCGGTAAAAAAGCCACAAGAGACAAAAGTTTTGCAAAATCAGACCTCCAGGCTACAATACCCTGTAAAAACAGTAATTTGTGGCACACTCCCTTTTCTTCCATTCCAAAAAGTTATACAGGTCCTCTCCTGATGGCTACATGCATTGTGAGTGGGAAAACAACTGCCCAATAAACCCCAGAGGAGAAAAATGTAGGTGGGTGCTATATGTCCTGTGCATCATGAAAAAGTTAACTGACCAACTCTGTGGCCTAAGGATGGAATATGTTTTGGGGATGAAGATATGTTTGGCATGCTATCTGAGGGAGCAGAAAGTAGGTAGAAAGTGTGGAATTCAGAGTATCTCCTCGATTTTTGTGATACCCATGCCAAGAATTAAGAATCTTATGCTTTTTATCCACTAAACCCTATACAAGTAAAATAATACAAATCACCCAGAAATAATAACTTACTCTGGCCAGTTTCTCTGGTTTGGAGGAGATGTGCAGCTGGGAAAAGAGCTCTGTGATTTCTTTGGTAAAGTCTTCATCCCCTGAAAAACCAAATACCATGTAAAACACTGCAGAAAGACTGGTGAGGATCAAGAAGTCATGAGGACAGGGAGGAGGTGGTTATAGCAGTAATGGTAGTAGTAACAGTAGCAGCAGTTTACATGAGCATGCTACATTAGTTCTCACAGAATCGTTTTATGTACATTATATCCATGCATTCTTTCAATGGTGTCAACTAAGAAAAGTGATGTTATCTCATTTTAGAGATAAAGAAATTAGAGATTAAAAGATTCCCCCTAATAGCAAAAATTAGGAGTCAAGTCTTGGCCTTCTCACCCCTACTTCAAGACCAGTACCCTTTGCATTACATCCAAGAAACATAGGTGCAAAAGTGATGAAGGCCAGGTACTACGGGTATGATTCCAAGGAAGTGGAATTTAACTTGGATCTAAGAGATGAGTACAAGTTAGCTAAGAGAATGGGAAGAGAATTTTCAGCAGAGGAAACAAGTGCAAAAACCCAATGGAGAACATGGCAACAATTTTAATTTAGTTAGGAACGTCTAATATAAGGAGGAAAAGAAGAGTGGGAAGAAGCTACTAGAAAGGTGAGTAACCAGTTACCATCAAATCAACTCTGAGTCATGGTTGACACCATGCATGTCAGAGTATAACTGTGCTCCAGCTGGTTTTCAATGGCTGATTTTCTGAGGCAAATCATCAGGCCTTTCTTCCAAGACACCTCTGGGTAAATTCAAATCTTAAATCTTTTGAGCAATTGAAAGTGTTAACCTTTTGCATCACCCAGGGACTCCAGAAAGGTTAAGTAGCATCCAAATAATAATAGGCCTTATTACCACCACCATAAGGAATTCAAACATCACACTGAGAGAGTGGTGAGCCACTGCAGGATTTTAAGCAAAGACTGATATGATCAAATTTCAATTTTAGGAAGATCACTTTGGTTGCTGGGTGGGAAATGTACTGGAAGGGGAACAGGAAGGGAAGATGATGGCTGAGGTAATAATCCAGGAACAAGGTAAGAGATAATGATAAATAAAAAGAAACAAAGAAATGGGATTACGGAATATTGGAAGGATGACAAGGAAGCTTTTGAAATAAATCTGGTAAGAGATGATGGGGAACACAGAACACCTACACTTAGAAACATAAAAGCAAATGTGAGTCAGGACCAAACAACTAATGTTGTTGTTGTTGTTATGTGCCTTCGAGTCAGCCCTGACTCCTAGCAACCCCTCCTTGGGTTTCCGAGGCAGTTATCACTACGGAAGCAGGATTGCCCAACCTTCCTTCCGAGGAGTGGCTGGTGGGTTTGAACCGCCAGCCTTCTGGTTAGCAGTCAAGTGCCTTATGCTACCAGAGCTCCTAAACAACTAATATATCCACACAAATAGCAAGAAATGCACTTTCCTATTCCACACATCTAAATTCTAACCTATCCCCACTCTGAGGCCTACTCCAAGACTTCTCTGCAACCTTGAGAACTCCTGTGCACAGAGTGTTCTACCATTTACAATAATATTACATGAATATTTATTGATCGCCAGTCCCTAGCTTGCCAGGGCAAATTATTACTGTTTCATATCCATTTCCTTCCGAAAATCCCCAGAAAAAATATAATTCTATCTTGGCACCTCTCTCTCCCTCTACTATCCTTTTGTCCCTCTATCTCTTGGCATCTGAGGGAGAGAATTCAAATGCTTTAGTGATCCCAGGTCCCATATAGTTTGGGGAAAAGCTTATTTCAGTAACTGATAACAATTCTGACATGTAAAACTCATGTAAACAACTTCTAATCATATCCTACTATATGAAATCTAAAACCTGACTTTTAGGCAGGCATTTTGTCTTCCTAATTAAGTTCTACATTATTTGGGCACAGGAGAGAAATCTGAATCTGCAGTGAGATGCATGCACCCCAAAACCAAATAAAAAAGCCAAATCCACTGCCATCAAGTTGACTCTGACTCTCAGCAACCCCCTCTTGGTTTTTGGGGTGGTAAATCCTTATGGAAGTAGATTACCCATCTTCCTTCCGCAGAGTAGATGGCAGGTTTGAACTGCCCACCTTCTGGTTAGCAGTCAAATGCCTTAGGCACTGCACCACCAGATGCATCCCAAAGGATTCACAAAATGATCCAATGAGTATAGGAAAACAATAATGGAACTTTTATTTATAGATGTTTATTTCATTCTTTCAAAAAAAAATCTATTTTCGGGTATATTTTAGAATTTACCTAATATATATTTTACAATACTACATGTGTATAATTTATAAAGAAGCTCTGCTAGTGTAGTGCCTAAGGTACCTGACTGCTAACCAGAAGGCTGGCAGTCCAAACCCACCAGCCACTCCTCAGAAGGAAGGTTGGGCAATCTACTTCCATAGTGATATTGCCTCTGAAATTCAAGGAGGGGTTGTGATGTGTCGGGCCTGACTTGATGGCACATAAAAACAACAACAACATAACTTATAAGCATTCAGATATACTTATATTAGGTAGGAGTGCTCACTAAGCTTTTACTCCTTAGAGTTTGTGATCACAACTCTTTGGAGATCAATGTCATGTACTTTTACCTCTGTAGAGTCCTGAGTATAAAAAGGACTTGTTTCTTTACGTCACACTATAAACAAAAATTACTAAAAAGACCTAAATGTGATAGCTAAAACTATATTTAGAAGAAAATATCAGGACAAATCTTCATGTCTTTGGATTTGCAAAAGGATTTTTAGTTGTGATACCAAAAGTATGAGAAACAAAAGTAACAATAAAATTCAACTTCATCAAAATTTAAAACTTCTGTGCTTCAAAAAAAGTAAAAAGACAACCCACAGAATGGTAGAAAATGTGTGCAAATCATGTATATGATAAGGGATTTGTATCTAGAATATATAAAGAATTCCTATAATCTAATTTAAAAAGACAACCCAATTAAAAAGCAGCAAAAGTTCTGAATAGACATTTCTCTAAGGACAATGTACAAACAACCAATATGCACATGAAAAGATGTTCTACATCATTAGTCATGGAAATGCAAATCAAGACCATGATATACCACTTCACAACCACTAGGATGGCTAGAATCAAAAAGTCAGGTAATTTAAAAAAATTTTTTTTAAGTAATAACAAGTGTTGACAGAAATCAGTTATATATCAGTATAAAATGTTTGGAAAATAATCTGGCTGTTAAACCTACAGTTATCATATGATCCAGGAACTCCACTCCTAGGTACATACCAGAAAGAAAAAAAAACATATGTTCACACAAAGACTTGTACACAAATGCTTACGGCAGCATTATTTGTAATAGCCAAAAGGTGGAAACAGCTCAAACAAGATGAATGGATAAACAAAATGTGGTACACCCAATGGAATATTGTTGTTGTTTTGTGCTGTGGAGTTAGACCCAACTCATAGCAACTCCTCGTTGGGTTTCCGAGGCGGTATCACTATGGAAGTAGCTGGTGGGTGTAAACCTCCAGTCTTCTGGTTAGTAGTCAAGTGCCTTAGGCACTACGCTAACAGAGCTCCCAATGGAATATTACTCAGTTATAAAAAGGAATGAAGTATTGATACATGATGGATGAATGTTTCAAAACATTGGATGGACCTTAAAAACATTATGTTAAGTCAAAGAAGTCAGTCACAAAAGTCAACATTATATGAAAGCTCAGAATAGAGAAGTCTGTAGAGATAGAAAGTGGTTATCTAGGGCTGGAAGAAGGTGGAAGGAGAGATTAGGGGAATGATAGTTAAAGGACACAAGATTTCTTTCTGAGGTGATGAAAATATTCTAAAACTGACTGTAGCGATGGTTGCACATTTCTGTGAATACACTAAAAACCACTGAATTGTACCCTTCAAGTGGGAGATTTATATGGCATGTGAATTACAAAGCAATAAACCTGTTTAAGAAAAAGAGAAAAAAAGCAGTTGTGTTAAAATACAAGTGTACAAAGATGGAAATAAGGCAGGGCTAATTCTTTGAAGGAGTTCAGGAGAGAGACTGGAATCTCCTCAATCAGAAAATCTCCTTCCAAAACTTAGGGACTACATACATAACTCTGGTAGCATAGTGGCTAAGACACTTGCCTGCTAACCAGACGGCTGGCGGTTCAAACCCACCAGCCACTCCTCGGAAGGAAGGTTGGGCAATCCTACTTCCGTAGTGATACTGCCTCGGAAACCCAAGGAGGGGTCGCTATGAGTCGGGGCCGACTCGACGGCACATAACAACAACAACAACAACATACATAACACAGATGGACAAGAACTAGGGATGCTGCTGAAAAAATGCAGATGACCAATGTCACCAGAATCAGGTTCTCCCTCCCCTCTGCTACTGCCACTTTTTTTTAACAGCTTTTTTCTTTCTTAGACATAATTAAATACCAAGGTCACTGTTACATTGTCAATTGAAATCACTGGGATGACTGTGGCAGGTAATGGAGGGGTATGTGCGTGTGGGGGGGGGACTTGGAATAAGGGGGTATCCAGTGCTATCTTTTTTGAGTCCTCATCTCTGGCAAACAGGTACGGGAGATAGGAATCATAGATACAAATCCATCTGTTTAGAAAACCCCTGGGAGTCCTCTGAATGGTATTTAAAGATCAGGATTTCTCATTACTTATGCAAAGCCAGATGTTGACTAAATTAAACAAATACTGTTAATGGTACCATGTACAAATAAATTAAGTTTATAAATAACTGGGGATTGTCATATTAGGGCTTGGTTAGGAACAATGGAGCAGCTTCAGCAAATGAAAATTAACTCATAGGTTTCCTTCTAAGCAAGACATTCAAACTATAAATCTTTATGCTTTCCTAATACTGAAAATATCTACCATTTGTTGAGTACTTACTATGTGCCCTACATTAAATATAATATTTCATTTATTCCTTATAATAACCTGAGGAGAACTATCATCCTCTTTTCACAGAGGAGGAAACAGAAGCTCAGTGTTTAGTAACTTCCTAAGGTCATATGGCTAGTCAATGGCAGAGCTTGATTTGGAACCTACGTCTATACTCCAAACTCCATGCTTTTATCCACCATGCTATATTGCCTTCTCAACATCTCAGGAGAAGATACTGAGATACAAACATTTGTATTCAAGCTATAAAAATTTATTTTCAAGAACCATTTTCTAATCAGGAACAATACTTTTACATGGAGCAAGACATAATTTAGCAAGATGTTATACAGTCAGGCCGTTTTACTTCTTAAAAGCAACACAGAACACAAATGGGAATAAAAAAGAAAGTCTTTCCCTGTGCATGTATAGAATTTATGCACTCAGAATTTATATCCTTCTCTCAAAGGAGAAATCCTAAGACCCTTACTCATAGTTCTTTGTTCTTAATAAACAGCTAAAATAAGACTAGCTCTCTGGTTTTCCATCCATAGTAGATTAGGGAAAGAAAACCAAATGAGGTTCAGGGGATATCAGAAGCAAGCTCACTGACAGTTGAAAGATGTAAAAGAGACAGATATATGAACAGAAGGAAATAAAGATGTACAATTGAAAAAGCAACCAGAGACATTTTTAAGAGCATAGGGGTCTACCCACTGCCATCAATTCTGACTCATTCTGTCCTGCAGGACAGAGTAGAACTACCTCATAGGGTTTCCAAGATGTCAGTCTTTACAGAAGCAGACTGCCACACCTTTCTCCTGTGAACCAGCTGGTGGGTTTGAACCCCCAACCTTTTTTTTGGCAGCCAAGTGCTTAAGTACTGTGCCATCAGGGTCTAGGACAATTTAATCTAGGAGCTCTCAAACTTTTTGGTTTCAGAACCCCTTTACACACTTGAAACTTTTTGAAAGGAAAAAAAAAAAAGCTTTTGTTTATATAAGTTATATTTATCAATATTTATCATATTAAAATTTAAACTGAAATGCTTTAAGCATTAATCAATTCATTAAAAATAATAACCTAATTAACCCATTGCCACAGAGTCTATTCTGACTCATAGTGACACTACAGGACAGCACAGAACTACCTCACAGGGTTTCCAACGCTGCCACATCTTTCTCCCACTGAGCAGTTAGAGCATTCAAACTGCTCACTTTTTGGTGAGCAGTTGAGCACTTTACCACTGCACCACAGAGCTCCTCTAATAAGCTCTTTACTTAGCATAAATAACGCATTTCTTTTTTAAAAAAATGACTATATTTAAAAAAAAATTAGAAGAGTGCCACTGTTTTACATTTTTGCAAATCTCTTTAATGTCTGGCTTAACAGAAGGCAGCTGGATTTTTTTATCTGCTTTTGTGTTCAATCTGTTGTAATATTTTGTTTAAGAAGAAAATCCAGCTCCATGAAGATAGTTAAAAAGAGGTTGAGTATTTTAATAGCTTGTTCAGATAACTGTGGATAGTCTTAAAACTATACTATAATTTAACAAGTAGTCATTTCTTAAAGGTTAGCTGCAATGTAGAATCTGAAGCCGTACAATGAACAAAGCACTCAGTTACATTCAATGAAAACGCATTGGTCTATCTTGTACTTTGAAAGCACCTTTTGCCTGTGCATAATTTTGTAATATCATTCACTGGCCATTTGAAAAATATTGGTTCACTAAGTTATGCAGATCTTCCTAACGCTAATATATTTCATTATAAAATACTAAAAAAAAAAATGCATTTTTTATTATCACTTCCAATTCCATCAGAAAAAATCTACAAGCACAAGAAAGCTGTCAAATTCATCACAGTGGCAAATAGGAGTTTTACAAAATTTTAATTTTTCTTGAAGTCCAAATTTTCTCATTAGCCATATTTTCAGTTGTTTTCCTTGAAATGACAGTCTAACTTCATTGCTTTTCAAGAAAATGTTTACCAAATACCTTACTCTGAATAGTGTGTCTGACTGTTATCTTTCAAGTAATAATCATATTCCATGAAAAAAGCTAGCAGCTTAGCTCACAACTCAAACAACAGCACAAGTGCTTTGCCTTGAGATAACCATCATACTTCATGGAATTTTAAAAAGAAATGCTTAATTTATTAATAAAATAGTTTAATAAAATTAACAAAGTCAGTAAGAAATTAATAACGTTAAGAAAATGAAATCATTTTTACTGCTTGAGCAACAAAACTGGCACTTCTACACTATGAGGGCATGGCAGTGAAAATATACTAGTAACAATACAGTGGCCAACAGTACCACAGTTTGGTGCCACTGCCTTGATTCGAGCTACCAAAAAAAAAAATTAACTCACTGCTGTCAAGTTAGGTCTGACTCATAGTGACCCCTCCTTGGTTGGGTTTCTGAGACGGTATTTCTACAGTAGTAGATTGCCCAATCTGCCTTCTGAGGAGTGGCTCTTGGGTTTGAACCACTAGCTTTCTGGTTAGCAGCCAAATGCCTTAGGCACTATGCCACCAGAGCTCTCATGATTCAAGCTAAGGCACCCACCCTTGCTTTTGTACCATCAGCACAAATGTCAACACTGTGAAAAATCAAATAACATCTTGGTTTTATTCTAAAAGTTTTGACTTCATAAAATTCTTGGGAAAGGTCTTAGGAACCCAATGATCTATAAACTAATTTGAGAACCATTAATTTAATCTACCACATAAGTGATTGGTCCTAATATGTCTTAATAGACCCTGAGATAATTTTTCTATTTATTTTTTATGTTTATTGCTTCAACAAGAAAAGGCAAAATTGTATTCATCAGATTCTACTTTTAAAAAGGCCAGATAGTATGTAATGCTTCTAAGTGATACCTCAGCTAAAATGTTCAAACAAAACAACTGTTAGAGATTAAGATTCAGTTACCCAGAAAATAACATTTTATGAAAACTACCTCATTCCCTGTTAATTCTGCAAAAATCAGTAGTTACTACATTTCCATTTCCTGAGGGATGCAGATATTGAAATGAGATTTAAAAAAAAAAAAACTCTTGGGGAAAAAAAACATGTTTTGGACTGTTACCCTGTAGGCCTTAATTCAAGAAAGGGTCAGGGGCAACAGGAATCAGAGAAATACAGGTAAAAGGTCTAAGGATACAAAAGCTCATAAGAATAACCAATTAGAACTGAAGCAAGAATCTCAAAAGGGCAGTTCTCTAACTGCAAAAGCAGGCAAGAGATATGAGTTGCAAGATTAGACTTGAAGAAGCTACACAGAGTTGGGGGGTGGGAAGATATGCACATAATGCTGATGGCCCACATCACTGCCTGTTCAGGGAATAGGCTATAGAGAATTTTGCATGAAAATTTCTTCTAAAAGAGGAAAATCAGGCTAGTGTGATTAGAAGGAAAGTAATTTCAAGGGCAATGAACTACATACAAACACAATATATTCTCCCCACTTAGATGATGAACATCCATATCACCTTTTTTCTCTTCTTCTTCTTCCTCACAGAACTCTGCTAGGGAAAAAGCTTCTTTGAGTTGCTCTAATTCAAGTGTTAGAGTTTCTAATTCTTTTCCACTCAGAGAATTAAGAATAGATTTCACCTGCATGGATATAATAAAATGTGGGAGTATGAAAGAAAAAGGAAAATATTATCAAATGGAAAAGAGATTGTATATCAAATTGATATCAAGATTATGAGCTCACCAGTCAACACAAATATTCTTTGCATGAATCTTAACATAAAAGAGTGATTGTTACATAAAGTGATATTTAGAGAGAATTTGTACTTCCTAAAACAATACAAGTCAGAAATGTGTGTAATTTATTAGCACTTAATCAGCTTAGAAATATAGGAAGTCCCCAGGTTCTAAACATCCAATCATGTGCAACCTGTAGTTATGAACCAACCTCCACAAAGCACATTACATTAAAAATTTGAGGTAAATACAATGGTTTGTAAAAACTACTGGTTGTTACTTTATAATGCACATTTAAACATTATTATTATTATTATAACTGTAGTATTATATTAAAGATATTTTAGTGTATCTGGAAATGTGTCTTTAATGTATTTGATGCATAGAAAGGTACACTGTATACCATTTACTAAGGCAAACATTTGACTAACTCATGTTAGATACAAACCACATCTAACTGCTCCTACTTACATACAAATTCGACTTAAAGACAGATTTAGGAACAAAATTCATTCATAATCCAGGGACTACTTATCAGGAGGAAATTAAACAGACTTGAACTAAGTGAAAGCTAACAGGTAACTAGCCAAATGGTAGCTTAAATCAATAGGTACTCCAAATTGGTAGTTCAAGCAAAAAAAAAAAAAAAAACTAAACTAAAAGGCCAACATGAAGGAAAAATAACATATATGCTACTGGGATCACTTCACTGATCTACCCTTTTTTTAATTTCAGAGAAATAACACTAAACTCACTCTATTTCTAACAATTAGTTCAAACATTAGCTTATTTTTTGTTTCAGTACAGTATTTCCAGAGAGTCTCAAGTCTCCATATTTGAGATGCATTTCACCTCCCAATTCTACAAAGAGAAAAGAAACTATGCAGCATTCCTTTGCCTAAAGATTTTTTTCCAGTTGTTATTTTGGTTTGGAATTACCTTTATTTCACTTTCTCGGGAAAGCATCTCCAGAGCTTCTAGATGAGAAAGGCCTTGAAATTCATCAAAGAGTAGCCCATAATGAGTTTTCTTGTCTGTTTCCATGGTAACCTCTTTGGAGGTCTGCAGCTCTTCTTTCTCCTTTGCCTCTCGCAAAACCTGAAAAGATATGAAGGCAAGTAACGAGAACTCAAGGTGGGTTTTCAGACTTGAAAGAAGCAAAGCTGAGATGAGTTATAGTACAGAGCACTGCCCTTTCATTCTTGGCATTGCAATTCAAATGTGACAGGCTCAAGAGCTACAGGATAAAAATGATCACATGCAGTTTGATCCTAAACAGCATAAATAATACCCAAGAAGCCAGGTGTTTAGCCAAAAGTGGTTTAAAACATTATCTAATAAGCAACTCTGATAGGAGTTGGCATATTAAACTGCACTGACAAGACACTTCTACAGGAAGGAAAAGGGAGCAGAAAAAGAGCTGGGCATTTTTAAGCATTAGCACTATTATTTAAAAAAAAAAAAAAACACCAAAACTCCTTTCATAAAAACTCATTGAAAATTCTTCAAAAGGAAATATTAATAAGCTCCTAAGGTAAAATAGACAAAAATTCAGATCAAAACAAAAACAGGAAGTAAACTTGTAAAGACAAATAGTACCTGAGACAATGTAGAATTCCTGTTCATCAGACCCTTGGTTTTTTTAAATCCAGGATCTCCTTCTGCTATTACATCCATTGTCTTTTTCCCAATGAATTCTAAGGCATCCAAACCCCCACTTATAACGCTCTTTCCCTAGAACACACAAAGAATCTCATTACAACAATATTGAGAAAATATGTCTGCATGTTTTGTTTGTTAAAAAGTAGTATCTAACAATATTAAGCACTGGTAAGAATGTGAAGCAACTGAAGCACTCATACACTGTGGTAGTGTAAATAGGGACAATTTCTTTGAAAAACTGTCAATAACTACTACACTTGAACATATGCATGTTGTTGTTGTTGTTATGTGCTGTCGAGTAGGACCCAACTCATAGCGACCCCTTCTTGGGTTTCTGAGGCAGTATCACTACGGAAGTAGATTGCCTCATCTTCCTTCCGAGGAGTGGCAATACATGTCCTACAACTCAGCAATTCCACTCATAGTCATACACCCAATAGAAATGTGTATAAAGGTCCATCAAACAACATGTATAAGAATATTTACAGCAGCACTATTTGTAGCTAAAAACTGGAAACCACCCCAAAACTCATTAACTGTGGAATACATAAATTGTGACATAATCACACAATGGAACACAGCAAAGAAAATAAACAAACTATAACAACATGGGTAAAGCTCACACACATAATATTGAATGAAAGAAACTAGATACAAAAAAAAGAGTATATTCCAATTATATAAAATTAAAAAGTACACAAAAATAATTTAGGACAACAGAAATCAGAATTGTTATTTTGGTTTGGGTGCACGATAACTGGCAGAGGGCACAAGGGGCATCTGAGGTGCTATAACGTTCTGTTTTCTTTCTGGGTGTGCTCACTTTGTGAAAAGAAAATTCAAATACTTACGATTTCACTTTTCTTACACTTCAATAAAAAGTTAAAATAAAAAAGTACTAGAAATCTACCCTCATATAGGAAAGATATTAACCTTCCTATGTATTCCTTTTAAAAATGTTTCCAATCATCTACATTTTTACAAGTATCCATCATAAAGACCACATTTACCCTTTTTCCTAAATGACACAATTATAAGATAAATATTTTTGTAAAGGGAAAAAGTATTCTAGGGATACCAAATTAAGAATTTCTAGTTCATAAAATATACATATTGCCTCTCTGTTATTCTTTATCTCCTACTTCCTCTTCTGTTTCTTTGAAGAAAATTTTCAAGTCATTCTCTACCCTAAGATCAAAATGATTACCAGTGATTTGGACTCCACAAGAGTAATCAGTCCAATGGCTTTTCAAATAAAGCAGGGATAAATGACTGAAGATAAGCAAACTCATTATAATAATGGGAAGGAACAGGTCACCCAGCACTTTTTACTCACTGTGCTCTGAAAAGCAGTAGAGATGGTAGAGAACACACCAAATGGCCTAGCCACTGGGGAGACATTTTCATTTTCTTTGGCATTTGTCTCTCCTACAAGAGAGAGGGAATGCATAGTATAAACATGAAAGGGAGGTCCATTAATCATTTTTGCTTTATTAGTAGAAAAAAAAAATTCACTGCTGTCAAGTCAGATCCGACTAATAGTGACCCTTCCTTGGGTTTCCAAAGTGGTATCACTATGGAAATAGCTTTCCCAGTCTTCCTTCCCAGGAGAGGCTGGTGGATTTGAACTGCCAGTCTTCTGGCTAGCAGTCAAATGCCTTAGGCACTATGCCACCAAAGCAAAATCTAATTGCTAAAAATTCAGATAGATACTAATAAAGCAGGGAGCTCTGGTGGCATAGTGCCTAAAGCATTTTGCTGCTAACCAGAAGGCTGGCAGTTCAAACTCACCAGCCACTCCTGGGAAGGAAGACTGGGCAAGCTACTTCCATAGTGATAATGCCTCAGAAACCCAAGGAGGGGTCGCTATGAGTCAAACTGACTCGATAGCAGTGAGTTTTTCTACATGAGGTCTTAGCCCTTTTTGCTTTATCATTTTAAATCATTAGCCTACATTTAAATGAAAACTAAGATAGGCGGCATTTTAATTTCATTTCAAAAATGAAATCTAGTCTTTTGAACAAACTACTGATATATATAACAACATGGAGGAATCTCAAAATCACAGTGCCAAGTGAATGAAGCAAGGCTTGAAAGGGTACGTATTTTATGATTCCATTATACAACCTTCAGGAAAAGGCAAAACTATAGCACTGGAAGCTCTCTGGTAGCCTTCTCTAGCCAGCGCCAGAAGGCTGGCGGTTCAAACCCACCAGCCACTCCTCGGAAGGAAGATGGAGCAATCTACTTGCGTAATGATACTGCCTCAGAAACCCAAGGAGGGGTCGCTATGAGTCGGGTCCGACTTGATAGCACTTAACAACAACATAGCATTGGAAAATAGATCTGTGGTTGTCAAGAGATGGGAGTAGGAAAAAGTGTTTGACTACACAGTACAATCAATATATCTTGATTGTCTAGACAGATAGAGAAAATACATCTACATAATTACAATATACCATGATTATATAAAGTAAAGAGGACTGCAAACATTTATCAAAACACATAAAACTGTATCCCAAAAAAATCGTAAATTTTATTTTATGTAAATTATACCTCAATAAACCTGATTTTTAAAAATCCAGTCTATTTGGGAGCTCTGGTGGCGTAGTGCCTAAGGCATTTGATTGCTAACCAGAAGGCTAACAGTTCAAAGCCACCAGCCACTCCTCAAAAGGAAGATTTGGCAATCTACTCCCATAGAGATACCATCACAGAAACCCAAGGAAGGATCACTATGACTCGAATCGGCTTGATAGCAGTGAGTTTGGGTTTTTATTTATTTATTTATTTATTTTGGTATTTAAAGTTATAAAACTTTATAAACTAGAAAATTTTATTTTTAGCAGAAATCAAACAGATATGCATTGCTGTTTGTGTTAGGTGCCATCAAGTCAGTTCTGACTCATAGCAACCCTACATACAACAGAATGAGACATTGCCAAGCTCTGTGCCATCCTCACAAATGCTATGTTTAAGTTCATTGTTGCAGCCACTGTGTCATTCCATCTCATTCAAGGTCTTCCCCTTTTTCACTGACCCTCTACTTTACCAAGCATATCTTTTTCCAGGTAATGGTTCCTTCTGACAACATGATCAAAGTAAGTGAGACTAAATCTGGCCATTCGTGCTTCTTGGGGAGCGTTCTGGCTATACTTCCTCCAAGACAGATTTGTTTTTGTTTCTAACAGTCCATGGTACATTCAATATTCTTCACCAACACCACAATTCAAATACATCAACAATTCTAAGGTCTTTTGTTTTTACTGTGCAGCTCTCACAAGCATGTGAGATGACTGAAAATACCATAGCTTGGGTCAGGCAAACCTTAGTCTTCAATGTGACATCTTTGATCTTGAATACTTTAAAGAGGTCTTTTACAGCAGATTTGCCCAATGCAATACATTTGATTTCTTGACTATTGCTCTCATTGGTGCTATTTATGGATCCAAGTAAATGAAATCTTTGATGTTGCTTATTGGTTCAGTTGTGAGGATTTATTCTCTTAATGTTGAGATGTAATCCATACGGAAGGCTATAGTCTTTTATCTTTATTAATAAGTACTTCAAGTCCTCTTCATTTCCAGCAAGGTTGTGTCATCTGCATATCACAGGTTGTTAGAGTCCTCATTCAATCCTGATGCTGCCTTCTTCATAGAGTCCACCTTCTCACACTATTTGCTCAACATACAGATTGAATAAGTACAGTGAGAGGATACAACCCTGACACCCTCCCCTCTTGATTTTAAATCGCACAGTATCCCTTTGTTCTGTTCATACAACTGCCTTTTCATCTATGTTCAGTTTCCTTATGAGGACAATTAAGTGCTCTAGAATTGCCTTTCTTCTCAATGATATCCATAATTTATTATGATCCACACAGTCGGATGTCTCTGCAGTCAATAAAACACAGGTAAACATCTTTCTGGTATTCTTTGTTTTCAGCCAAGATCCATCTGACATCAGCAATATCTGTCATTCTATGTCCACTTCTGAATCCAACTTGAGTTTCTAGCAGTTCTCTGTCAATGTACTGCTACAACGATTTTTTCAATTCTCTTCAGCAAAATTTTACTTGTATGGAATATTAATGATATTATTCAATAACTTCCACATTCCACTGGATCACCTTTTTGTGGAATGGGCACAAATTTGGCTCTCTTCCAGTCAGTAGACCAGGTAGCTGTCTTCCAGATTTCTTGGCATTGAACAGTGAGCACAACATTGCATCCACTTACTGAAACATCTCAACTGATATTCCATCAACCCCTGGAAGCATGCTTTTTGCCAGTGCCTACAGTGCAGCTTGGACTTCTTCCTTTAGGACCATTGGTTCTTGATCATATGCTACCTCCTGAAATGGCTGAATGTTGCCAGTTCTTTTGGATACAGTGACTCTATGTATTCCTTCCATCTTCTTTTGATGTATCCTGTGTCAATGAATTTTCTGCCAATGTTGTTGTTGTTAGGTGCCGTCATGTCTGCCTCATAGCAACCCTATGCACCGCAAAAAGAAACACTGCCCGGTCCCACGCCAGCTCCATGATCCTTGCTATACTTGAGCCCATCATCGCAGTCACTGTGTCAATCCATCTCATTGAGGGCCTTCCCCTCTTTTGTCAACCCTCCATCTTACCAAGCATGACATCCTTCTCCAGGGAATGGTCCCTTCTGACAACATGACCAAAGTAGGTGAGACAAAGAAGTCTGGCCATTCTCGCTTCCAAGGAGCATTTCTGCTGCATTTCCTCCAGGACAGATCTGTTAGTCCTTTTACCAGTCCACGGCACTTTCAGCATTCTTCACCAGCACCACAACTCAAAAGCATCAATTCTTCAGTCTTCCTTATTCATTGTCCAGCTCTCACATGCAAACAAGACGACTGAAAATATCATGCCTTGTGTCAGGCGCACCTTAGTCCTCTAGGAGACATCCTTGCTCCTCAGCACTTGAAAGAGGTCCCTTGCAGCCAATTTGCCCAGTGCTATAGCATAGTGGCTAAGGCACTTGACTGCTAACCAGAAGGCTGGTGGTTCAAACCCACCAGCCACTCCTCGGAAGGAAGGTTGGGCAATCTACTTCCGTAGTGATACTGCCTGGGAAACCCAAGGAGGGGTCGCTATGAGTCATGTCTGACTCCATGGCACATAACAACAACAACAACAATACGTCATCTAACGTCCTGACTGCTCCTTCCACTGGCGTCGATTATAGAACCAAGCAATGTGAAGTCTTTGACAACTTCAATCTTTTCTCCATTTATCATGATGCTGCTTACAGGTCCAGTGGTGAGGACTTTTGTTTTCTTTATACCGAGATGTAACCCATACTGCAGACTGTGGTCTTCAATCTTCATCAGTAAGTGCCTCAAGTCATTCTCACTTTCAGCAAGCTAACTTGTGTCATAGTGTATCACAGGTTGTTAATGATTCTTCCTCAAATCTTGATGCCATGTTCTTCTTCATATAGTCCAGCTTCTTGGATTATTTGCTCAGCATACAGACTGAATAAGATTCTTGATTTTAAACCATTCAGTGTCCCCTTGTTCTGTTCGAACAATAGCCTCCTGGTCAATGTACAGGTTCTTCATGAGCACAATCAAGTGTTCTAGAATTCTCTTTCTTCTCAATGTCATCCACAATTTGTTATGATCTACACAATCAAATGTCTTTGCATAGTCAATAAAACACAAACATCTTTGTGGTATTCTTTGTTTTGAGCCAAGATCCACCTGACAGCAGCTATGATATCCTTTGTTCCATGCCCTCTTCTGAATCCAGCTTGCACCACTGGAAGTTCTCTGTCAACATACTGATGCAACCGTTTTTTAATTATCTTCAGTAGATCTTACTTGCATGCAATATTAATGATATTGTTCGATAATTTACACATCCTGTGGGATCACTCTTCTTCAGAATGGGTACAAATATGGATCTCTTCTAGTCAATAGAATCCTTCAATACTGAAATTCAAAGCTTGAATTTTTTCTTCAGTTCTTTCAGCTTGAGAAATGCTAAGTGTACTCTTCCCTTCTGGTTTTCTAACTCCAAGTCTTTGAATATTTAATTATAATGTTTTACTTTATCTTTTTGAGCTGCCTTTTAAAATTTTATGTTCTGCTCTTTACGTCATTTCTTCCATTCGCTTCACCTACTTTACATTTAAGAGCAAATTTTAGTGTCTCTTCGGATACTCATTTTTGTCTTTTCTTTCTCTCTTCTCTTTTTAATGACCTTTTGCTTTCTTCATATATGATGTCCTTGATATCATCCCACAACTCATCTGGTCTTCTGTCACTGGTGTTTAATGTATGAAATATTTTCTTGAGATGGTCTATCAATTCAAGTGGCATATACTCAAGGTCATGCTTTGGCTCTAGCAGACTTGTTTTAATTTTCTTCAGTTTCACCTTGAACTTACGGACAAGCAATTGATGTGTGTTCTGCAGTAGGCCCCTGGCCCTGTTTGACTAATGATATTGAGCTTTTCCATCATCTCTTTCCACAGATGTAGTCAGTTTGATTCCTGTGTATTCCATCCACTGTTGTTTATATTGTTGGAAAAAGGTATTTGCAATGAAAGTTATTGGTCTTACAAAATTCTATCATTCAATCTCTGGCATAATTTCTATCACCAAGGTCATATTTTCCAACTACTGATTTTTACTGTTTCTAACTTTCATGTTAAAACCACTAGTGATTATCAATGCATCTTGAATGCATGTTTGATTGATTTAAGACTGCAGAATTTGGTAAAAATCTTCAATTTCTTCATCGTTGGCATTAGTGGTTGGTGTGTAAATTTAAGTAATTCATATTAACTGGTCTTCCTTGTGAGAATACGGATATTATCCTGTCACTGGCAGTGTAATAGATTTTGAAATGTTCTTTTTGACTATGATTGCGACAATGTTCATCTTTATCTTTCCTGGCATCTGGCATAGTAGACCACATGACTGTCCGACTCAAAATGGCCAACACCAACCCATTTCAGCTCACTAATGCCTATGATATCAATCTTTAAGCACTCCATTTCATTTCTGACAATTTCCAATTTTTCTTGATTCATATTTCAAACATTCCATGATCCAATTACTACTAGCTGTTTGCAGCAGTTTCTTCTCATTTTGAGTCATGCCTCATCAGCTAATGAAGGTCCTCAAAGCTTTACTCCATCCACATCATTAAGGGTGACTCTATTTTGAGGAGGCAATTCTTCCTTAGTTGTATTTTGAGTGCCTACCAACTTGAGGAAGGAAGTCTCGTGGTGTAGTGGTTAAGACATTTGGCTGCTAACCAGTGTTTCAAACCCACCATCTTGCTCCATGGGAGCATCTTTTGGCACTATATCAGACAATGTTCTGCTGTAATCCATAAGGTTTTCACTGGTCGATTATTTTCCAAAGTAGATTGTCAGGTCTTTCTTCCTAATATGCCTTAGTCTGAAAACCCGTTCACCATGAGTGACCCTGCTAGTATTTGAAACATCAGAGACATAGCTTCCAGCATCACAGCAACAAGCAAGCCACCACAGAACAATAAATTGACAGATGAGTGGTGGTATATTCTATTACTTGTAACCAAAGTAGGCTAATTGATACAGGCATCAATAAGAATGATGCCCCCAACTCTCACAGGTAGTTCTTTGCAGCCATGTTTGCCTAATGTGACTTTGTCCCATGGCTATGGCTGATTAGACCAGGAATAGACACGTAACACAAGTTAAAAAAAAAAAAAAACTGCTATTGAGTCAACTTCAACTTATGGTGACCCCAAGTATATCAGAGTATAACCTTGCTCCATTGGGTTTTCAGTGGCTAATTTTTCAAAAGTGGCTCACCGGATCTTTCTCCTGGACACCAGTATACTCAAACCACTGGACATATTCAAACCACCAACCTTTTGGTTAGCAAGGAAGTACCTTTGCTCCACCCCAGGATTCTGACAAAAGTTTAGGTATAAGTACCCACCAGAAACTAACTACCACCATTTGCTTCTACTTCTAAATTCCCAGGAGAGAGAATTAGGTCACCTCGGCCATTCTCTCCTGTGTATTTAGAAGGAGAAATAACTTGTGCTAGTTAGTGTCTGATGGGGACTTATACTAGGACTTAATGTAAAGCTGGAGTTGGGGAAGATAAGCAGATAAAATAAATCTGTTCAGAGAAAAAAAATGATATAGATGAACAGAGAGAAGCAAAAGTTAAAGACAAGGCCCCAGAGAGATGGAAATAGCAAACCCAGGCCTTGAAGGACATTCTATTTTCTGGTCTCAGGCCCTCTTGAGTCCTTGTTCTAATCCTGCCCTTTATGATTTAAGTTAGAGTAGGTTCCTGTTGGATCAAAGCAGCCTTCCAGAATTGAACTTCACCTTCACATAAATCCAAACACAAAAAAATATACCTTCAAAACAAATACATTAAAATATTTTCTTGTGCCACAATAGTTTGAAATTCAACTAACTCTGTTAAGTTGCTACTCAACTATGCCAGGCATAATGCTAACCTCTTTTTAGATTTTACATTCAGGGTCTTATTTATTTAATGTTTAAAACAGACATAAAACATAGTCTCATTTCATAGATGAAGAGTAAAGTGAAGATATACATGAATGGTTGAAGAACACATTCCTCTAACTAGCAGTGAGAATTCTAAATCTTCTTTATTATCCCAGTCTCCTGATGCCCTGAATATCAGAGACACTCAACAAATATATACTTAAAATGAGCTCAAATACTCCATTTTAATATAGTATTCTAGGTCTTAGTGTTTCCATATACTGACCTGATGCATACTGGACTTGAGTTGAAATTTCACTGGGATTTGGGATTCCAAGGGAAGTCTCTGCCTTCTCAATGACATTTGAAATACCTTGTCCTAACAGAAAAATGGCAACATTTTTATGTTTTAATATTATTTGCTAGTAGTTACCAAAACTGAGAAAAAGTCAAACCAGCAGATTTTTAAAATCATTATAATGACATGTTATTTTGAACCACACACAACTAACTAATCCTTAGGCTGTCAGGGTGTCTCATTAAAAATAAATAAATAAATAAATAAAATTGAGTCATGTTTTATGTCATCATCAAAGGGTAGTTTTACGTTAACAATTCCCAGACTTCAACCTTCTAATGAGGAAATACTTCAAACTCTAGTGGCAATATAAATCAGCCCACCATTACTAATGTATCCTCAAACTACATTTCAGTAAGCAAGGAAGAATTATTAATAAAGTTGTTTTTAACACAGATACATAGCAAAATACACACAAAAATTAATCAAATGACTGTTGATCTTACCTACTGTTGCTACTGTAGCTGAGGCTGAGGAAAGTAAAGACTTGCCCCAGCTGCCCCAGTAACCCCATCCAGTCTGAGATATCTCTTTGGTAACAGGCTCCTATTTTTAGCAGTTGGCAAAGGAAAAAAAGGAAGAGGGAAATGGAAAAATTAACAGAGAATCAGAATGTATAAACAAGGTATCTAATTATCAGATATGCATGAACAAATATTATCTGGCTAAAGAAATGTATTGTTTGACTAAGAGATAGTGTTACCAGTATTTAAGTATCATGTACCAAAGGCAATTGCCCTTAAAGGGATTTATATGACAGAGAAAATGGTGTTTTATGACCATGAAAGGAAAGAAATAGATATAATACTAAATTGGCAGTGATTCCAAATTCCCCAACATATTTTAATCCCAATTTTTTAACAGATACTCTACTTTGCCTGCAGCCTGTGAAGCCTGAACAGGGAGAACTTCTGAAGTCTCTGAATCACTGAAAGATCTGGTCTCTGGTCTTTCCGAGTAGAAACTACAGGTTCTGATTTACTCTCTAGTTTGTTGCTTTGGTCAAAAGACTCAGAATCCTTTCCTGGCTCACAGTTCTCTTCATCAGGAATAGGGGTTGCTTCAGTTATAACTGGAGTCTCAGAATCATCTTTATCCGACATGATTAGAACATGACCTGGTAAAATAAAAGCCCCCAGAAAACATATTATTTATATAGGCTTTTTTTTGTTATGAATGATTCTTTCAAACTTGGAGATTATTGTAGATTTACACACAGGTATAAGAAATAATATAGAGACATGCCATATACTCTTCACTGTTACTGCAATGATAGCATCATATATAATTATAGTGTCATATCACAACTAGGAAATTAATTCATCGACCTTCTTCAGATACCTCCAGTTTTACATACACTCATTTTTTGTGTGTGATGTGTGGATGCATGTATTTAGCTCTATGCAACTTCATTATATGTATAGATTGCTTTGACCATCACCATAGACAAGATACAGTGCAGTTTCAATCACAAGATGTCTCATGCCACTTTCTTAGCCACAGTCACCTCCCAGCTTTTTTCCTCAACCCACAGCAACCACTGATCTCTAAAATTTTGTCATTTCAAGAATGTTATACAAATGGAATCATATAGTAAGTAACCTTTTGAGATTGACTTTTTTTCAAACAACATAATGCTGAGTAGTATCCCATGGTATGGATGTATCACAGTTTATTTAATAGTTTCTATTTTTCTAGGATAAACACTCAAGAGTACAATTACTAAATCATATGGTAAGTACATGTTTAGTTTTGTAAGTACATGTTTAGTTTTATAAGGAACTACCACACTCTTTTGGAGTGGCTGTAGCATTTTACAGTCCCACCAACAATGCATGATATACTTTGGCCTGTATGTGGTATTACACTTTTTATTTGAGCCATTCTGATACATATGTAGTGATATCTCATTGTGGTTTTAAGCTGCATTTCCCTAAAGGCCAATGATCTTGACCATCTTTTCATGTGCTTATTTGCCATCTGTTTACCCTGTTCAGTGAAATATCTATTCACATATTTTGCTCATTTTCTAATGGTTTGTTATTGTTGAGTTTTAAGAGCTCTTTACATGTTTTAGATATAAGTCCTTTGTTGGATATATGGCTTACAAATATTTTTTCCTAGTCTGTAGCTTCATCCTCTTCACATGGTCTTTAACAGAACAGAATTTTTCATTTTGATGTGGTCCAATTTATCAATTTTTTCTTTTACTGATTGTGCTTTAACAATCTTATTAATCATTCCTCTCTGGTGGTGCAGCAGTTAAGGACTCTGCTAACTGAAAGGTCAGTGTTCAAACCCACTAGCCATTCCATGGAAGAAAGATGTAGCAGTCTGTTTCTGTAAATATTAAAGCCTTGGAAACCCTATGTGGCAGTTCTACTCTGTCCAAGAGGGCTGCTATGAGTTGATGGCAATGGTTTTGGTTTGGCTTGGTTTTCTACCTCAGTTTTTCTGAGACAAGATTAAGAAAGACATCAGATAGAATTTATGTCAAATCAGCTTTTGAATAGCAATGATAATTAATTCAATTCCTTCAGAAGTATAGTTCTGTGATACATTAAGGTCAAGACACTACTGGTGTTCTACAGAGAGCAAATACTGGTTTCCAGGATAACCCCAATTACCATCAGGGAAGAAATAAATGTATCTTGCACATGCATGCATAAACACACACCAAGGCCTTAGCTACATATAAACATATATATGTTCTACTCATAT